TATGTCAATAAGACCTTTGCTCATTCACTGATTTTGGATATATCCCATTACAGGAAATAACTAGTTCATGGTGACTGGTGGCAGATTTGAGTTCATATTACTACCCATTGGGTTTAAAGCCCAACTCCAGTTAAAAAGTATTTTTTCCCCATCTCTCCCTCACCCTCTAACCCTTCCTAATTGGCTTTTGTTGCCCCTTATCTTGGAAAATCAGGTAGACTCACCTTAGTTGCCCCACCAGGTGCCTCTCTGCCGAAGTTCCTTGGTGAGGGGACTGCAAATCCAGCGGTGTGAAGGTGTTTGAGACTGACAGTCCCTTTCACTCCCCTCCACTGTCGTCATTCTTCTTCTGGATCCTGAGAGGACCTTGGCCAATGGACAGCCAATAGAAAGTGACATCAAGCTGGCGCTAACAACGACACTCAAAGAAGGACCCAAGCAAGACTTTTAGATAGGGATTTTTCTTTAATCCAATCTTGACCCAATGATCAGATAGTGGGAAGTAGATTAGGTGTACTGTGTGCTGGAATTGGGCATGCTTTGAGCCCTGAAGAAGGGGTAGGTCCTTAAGCCCCTGAAGCAGATTGGTCATTCTGTGTTGTTGTTTGGGAACTTTGGACTTTATACTTTTGAACTTGAGTCTTCACGTCACTGTCCCCTTGTTTCAGGGACATCCTGCTTTTCTTGAGAGCATCCTTACAGGAGCCATTGTACTTTATCACCGTATGGCCAATATTCGGATTATTTAAATCTAGCACCTCATCTCTACTTGTTCCAAATAAGACCTTGAAGGGCAGCTACAGTTAGGGCCCATTAACATTGTTGCAGTGTGTTAGAGAGTATTCAGTTATGGCATCCAAATCATAAGGGCTTTCAACACATTACAATGCAAAGTGACACTAAACTCAGGAGTTAAATCTTAAAATAGCATTTAGGTGCCTTTACTAATAACAAAAATGTATCTTATTTCTGCATCACTCGACTGTAGATCCTCAAATCATCTCTGAATTGGTGCCGACACTGTCCTTTTTCTGGAGGGAGGCTACTTTTGTTCCCCATGGTCCTTGGGTGTGTTGTAAAGTAGCCACCGATATCAAGCTTGCTCCCATGATGCTCCCATGATGGACTACAATCTACATTTACTTTGATAATTTCTATTGGGATTGTAGTCCATCAGCACAGCAAGCTTGGAGTGGTGGCTACTTTACAACACACACACGGACCACGGGGAACCAAAGTAACCACCCTCCAGAAGGAAGGATCTAACGGCCTAACAGCCAGCCTGCTGCACGGTTCAGGTGAGTATAACTTTGTAATTTTTGCACCTAGATGTAGCCACCGCTCCAAGCCCACTCATGTGATTGACTACAATCTCAATACAAACTAGTAAAACTAAACGTGAGATTATAGTTCATCACAGGAGTGAGCTTGGAGCAGTGGCTACTTTACAACACACACAGGGACCATGGGGAACAAAAGTAGCCACCCTCCAGAAGGAAGGGCAGTGCCAGCACCAATTCAGAGATGATTTGAGGATCTACAGCTGATGAATACACAAATAAGATAATTGTTAAGGTACTTGAATGCATTTTTAAGATTTAAATCATGAGTTTAGTGTCACTTTATGGGACCTATAGCATTTTCTCCCACCACAGGCACCACAATACACAGTTTGGTTCACCCCTGTGCATTATGGTGCAGTTGCTAGGTACATGACTGACAAGCATCAACCAGCGTTAACAAGAATTGCGGTAACATGCGATCAAATGCACAGTTTGCAGTGCTTTACCACAACCCACATGTAAATAGAGCATGAAACAATGAAGCTGAAGACCATTTTTAAGTTGAACAATTGAATCTGCACATACACATTCCTTGCTGTACATGTTCAATGGCATGCTCTCTGCTGTGCTATATGACTGCAAAGAAGGGTGACAGCACTATTTCCAGAGCAGGTTATTCTGTTAGCTCCATGGCACTATCTCCCCTTCTGCCTACCAAACGCATGAGATGCAGAGAAGGGAGCCAAAGTAAGAAAGTTTGGAGAGACTGTCTCTTCTGATTCTGCAGTGAGCCCCTGATTCTCTGGAGGATGTCTGATGTAAGTCAGTGGATGTGGAATACATTTCTAACTGATAAGTGAACTATTTATTTTAAAATCATTTAAAAATAAATAGAGCCAGGATTAGCCTATAATATTTATATGGCACTATACACAATATAGCATACTGTAGATATAAATGCTGGGAAACGGCAGTATTACAGGAGACGTTTTCCATCCTCCTGCGTACAACTGGAGATAGCCAGTAGTATGATGAGATGGAAGAAAAAAGGCATTATGACCTTTGACCACCAGAGATGACACCTGGGGATGAATTAGGATGTCTTGTTTAGCTGCCATAAGCTTGTAGATATCTCCTTTGGAATGGTGGGTTGGAAGGGATCTGGTTGTCCATGTACTCTCAGAGCTCCAGGACCCACAGCAATACTCGCCTGACACTGACTGTGCCTTTATTTATACAGTTGATATATGAAATATGGCCGCGTATAATGTAAATGGTCTTTATTACATGTGTAGCCAGCCTGCCTTATGTAGGAGTGACTATTTAAATTTAGAGCTGTCAGACTGTGGTCAGCCTGATGCTGATTTCATAGACTATGCCCATTCGGTTTCTCCTGAGCTCTCGGTTATTGTTTGCATCTGTCTTCTGCTGGGTGTAACCTTGCCACAGAGCAGAACATCCAATAATGGTGTGTTATGAATATGTGTGTCTCCCTAGACAATAACTAGGAGGTTCATGGCCGGTGGTGCATGCTGAGAGAGGACATACATATTTGGGGCTGACCTTGTGAGTGTCTCTTTCCGCCCGGGCCTCCTGCCTGGGGTAGGGATGCTGTGGATTTTCTGATCCTTCTAGGCCTGCTGCCTAGGAAGGGAAGCCATGTGCTCGGACTGGTGCCTAGGACTGGGCCTAAGGAATAAAGCTTGAGGATGGAGACAGAGAACAACTTCACCAGGTTCAGGGAGAGAAGTTGATCCTCTACTGCAACATGGTGATCTATTCTGAGCTAAAGACACAGATTGCCACAATCAGCTTAAAGATCCTCTGTGAAGGCTGAAAGTACTTCATTCTATTATTTGGACCTTACCAAATTGCTCCCAAAGTTCTTCAATAAAAATTCAGCAGCATTGTATCTTCTGTGTGAACATCAGTTTTATCGTTCCCCTCTGCAGGGTCAGTAACTGCTTTTGGGGCAGCAATACAACAGTAAACCCTAGACAGGCTAGGAGGGACCTGTCTATCCAGTCGATCCATAGGGGGTAAGCGCTATACATAATACACATCCCTCTGTACATGCAGATATACAAAGCATAGTGTATACAGCTGTTATGGATTATAATGTGAGGACAATGACTAGCTTTAGGATCTTTCAGCTGCCCATAGGCATTAGAAGCTGACTGAATGTATTGTGCAGTCATGAACCAACCAGCCAAACATTTCTTTTTCAGACTCATATGGTCTGTATTTATGTATGGAGGTGGGAGGGGGAGAGCTCTCATGTGCCTCCCATGCAAGTATTTCTAGGTAGAAAAAGAATAATGATCAGCTCTGTCCCTTTCATTATTTAGATTTCAGTCTTTGAAATCATGGAGGCTCAGCATCACATTAAGTCCGCTTAGAACCTCCCACTCCTCCAGAATGACATTGAGGTTGCGCTTGATGGGTCTTTTTTCAACTTGACTATATAACTATGATATTTATCCGTCAAGGCATTTTGATATTTGCATAACTGCTTGCAAGAGCCTGCCCACTCCTAGCATTAGTGCTGAGGACTCTGCCGAACTGAAACTATGTATAGCAACCTGTGGACCCCTCCCACCATGACCTGCCTGTATTGCATAGAGAAGCACAAAACCCCTGTGATAATGTAATTCACTCTAAAAAAAAGTATGTCATGAAAACAGAAAGATTTTATTTATTGATTTCATTGCCTTGTTGATGAGGGTGGAAAGAAGCAACCAGAGAAGGTAAAATATAAACAGGTCAAACTTCAGCTTTAAGAAACGTATAAATATCACAGTTGAACAAAAATAAAATCTTTAATGAAAAATATTGGTAAGGATCATTTCCCACTGATCCTTATCAGTTATAAGGTTATGTACATTTCCTGCATCTGCTGCGACAAACCATTAAAGTCAACTGAACTAACATTTGGAGTTCTAAAACTACAGCAAATATAGCAACACATTGGGTGAGACTGATGAAACAGGCTGACAAAATGGCTGCAATTTGCATATATTTTCTGTGCATGTGTTTTTCTGATGCACATGTGTACTTTTGACGTTTTTTATGGGTTCGTTGCTTAGCAAACTTGACATTTTTAGTACAGCATAGATATTGCCCACTTTTTAGACCGCAAACATCTATAAAGTTCCTTAAGTATCTAACTTTGTTAAACGATCTTTTAAGTCATAATATTTACAGGATGTAGACACCCTGGTACCCTTCCTGCAGCCACATGCCGCCCTTTGTTATTTATTGTGCAGCCTTCATCACCAGCAGCCAGTATAAGGAGTGAGGGCATTGATATGGAAAGGGTTTGTACTGGAAATGATCTCTAACAGTCTCATATAATACAGTATGTCCACAGTCTCTGTCTCCTACACCATGTCCCCAATGTCTCCTAACACGTGTCCAATGTCTTCAGTCTCGGACCATCTCCTGCAATATGTCCAAAGGCTTATATATTCTTTTATAGCATTACATATACAGGATATTTGGCATGCCCCCCTGAGGATGTCAGGGATTGCAGTTGAGTCCCTCTACATCCAATAAGTTGGCCACAATTTAGGTAGATGATAAATGTATTTTCCAAATTCAATAAAATATGTAAAATATATAAAAATAGGTATAAGAATATATATAACACATAAGTGACACACTGCCATTATTTGGTACATGTAGTCTGACCATCTAATTAGTACTTATTAGCCTTACCTTTTGTTACCAGAAGCGCCACAGGAACAGCAATAGCAACAATAACTACCGCCCCGACCAGCAGACCGATCAGCCACTTCACCCATGTCTAAAAGATATATTCACAGTAAATGGTTTGTTAAAAAGCCAAAAACTTTGGAATCAAGTTTTTTTTTAAATTAAACATTGGGTAACACAGCAAGTTTTGGAGTAACATAAAAATGGAAACAGGCATTGCTGACTTGTTAAAATGGTGCTGGCCCCTGAGCTACCATCTTGATCCTGGCTTCACCAGCTAGTGAGTTACTGACCTGGAAGAAACATGGGAGGACAGGAGTTCAGATTTTTCTGACTTCACTGGATGTATACTAGTTACGGGTTTGTGACTCAGTAGGTAGAAAAGTTGGAGTTGGGATGGAAGCTCTAGAGCTTATATCTTTTAAGTCACCAATAGCAGTTCCCATATCTCTATACTCAAAAAGTTTACTTTAAATAAATACCAGGTATACCCAGTCCTACCACCTCCTTACAGGACTCCTCATCAGAGGTGCAAGACAAAGACTTCTCAATGCAAGCCAGCAATATGAAAGATTTCAGCAACATGCCAAGGTCAAGTTAAAATCTTATTACAATGTCTATTATTAGCTTCAAAGCAAAGCTGAAGTTACCTAAAAGTCTTTAATTTGGGATTGGTGTGCAGACATAGACATCTCTAGTTTTCTTACAGAGCTCTCCATAAACCTTGAATACTAGGATCTGCTATGCATGCTTACATCATTTTGATCCTAGTTTTCCTACTGAGCTCCTCATTAAACCTTGAATTTTGGGATGCTCTGGTATGCATACTTACATAATTTTGACCTTATTCTCCAGGATGATAGGCTGACCCTACCAATGCTCTTGTGATTCACTATTAGCCCACCATTGCCATGTGTGGCCAAACCTGGCAATACTGAAGCACAGGACACAGGAGACAATGTCCCCCTTGGTAATACTCCAGTGGATGTAGCCATCTTGACCTGGTTCAGTGAGCATGGTAATACTCCAGTGGATGTAGCCATCTTGACCTGGTTCAGTGAGCATTGTAACAGTGTGGTAACCTGGGCATTTATTCATGCCGTGTAAGAATTCCATTACACTTCTGCTACAGCTATTAGGGGCAACTAAAGTCAATGTACCTATATAAAAATATTAAGCAAATCTTAGTGTTATTGTTTACCCTAATCAATTTTTTTCCCTCGGGTTCTTGCATAAAACTAAAGCATTCCATTTCACACATGTACTGTATATTGTGACCTTAGGGTCATAGTGACAAAAATATTTTTCTAGCAGTTTTTTGCTGACTCTGGTAATCCAACAGGAATCTGTGGGAGGCAGGAGGGGAGGGCTGTACTTTAACACTATCGGAGAGTTTCAGTAAACAAAAAAGATACATCTTTCAATGTGTTTATGTTTTTTCATATGTGCGTACACATGTGTAAAGAATCTTTACTTTATGGATATTGTTTTTTGAGAATTTTATTTCATTTTTTAGATGCAACACTGAAATAAAAAGGCTAACACAAATCTGTTAGGCCAATGTAAAAATTGTTTTGCTGTGGCACGGGCATTTAAAAGCTGTGACGAATACAGCATTTAAGTGCCTCACTTTATTATTTTATGAGACAATATACACTCATAAATAAAATATATTATTTTTACTTTAGTTTACTGTTGCAGTTTTTCAACCTTTGCCTTTTCCAAAGATTGTAAATAATGTGCTGCATAGCCAGTATTTGTTTCTGTTATTTTATTACACTTTTTTATATTTTATTGCGGATCATCATGTTATGGTATGCTCCTGACAACTAGTAATACATTAGTGCTACTACAGCTTAATTTCTGTATACATTTGGTATCTTCCATTAACCTCCCTCATGTTTAGTGTTAATTGGTCTTCTAGTTATACACTCCCAGCCTCTCCTTCCTGGTTTCTTTTCACTTCACCCTCACTGTGTTTAGAGGGTTCTCTTCATGCTGTACAAAGCTTTAGATAGAAATGTCTTTCCACCTCTGAGAATGACAAGGAATCACATCTTCTGTAAATCATCCTGAATAAACTACATTGGATTCTACTCGGAGTCTTCTTGGTGAGTTGGACCCTGCCTGTGGATACCATCATCTCAGAAAGTCGTCATACTATCCATACAGACTAGTCTCAGGAAAGTACCATGTTTCCCCGAAAATAAGACCTACCCCATAAATAATCAAATGAAAAGCAATATTTGCCGTGATTGTGCTTGGTTGTTTCACTTTTCTCTGCAGAATCGATCACCCAGGAGTCATGACAGGTGTTTAAAAAAAAAAAAAAAAGACTACATCAGCTGCATTGAATACATTTTTGTGATCAAGGGGCCTTAAGGTATATCTAAAACCAAAGTTTTTTCCCCTTTTGGAGGGAGTAGGGGCTGTCACCTGTCAGGATTTATTTTTGCCATCTGTGTCCCATTCAATTCCATCTGTAGATGCAATAGGAAGTGAGAGGAAATTTCTCCAAAGTGAGATAAATTCCATCTTAGACCGTTGTCACTAAAACAAAAATCCCTAACTGGAAGATTTTCCTTTCAGTCCTGGGGACAATGGCCACCTGGACAAATAGGTTGGATCTTCCCAGCAGAAAAACAGTAAAATCCTGACAGATGTTTTTTTTTAACCCTTCCACACTAAAAAAAAAAAAAAAGGTTTTGGCTTTAGAAATACTTTATTTACCGCAATGCACACACTCTGCAAAAATTGGTATAGTGGCATACATTGGATTTGCTCATTGTATGCAGTAGTGAGCTCCATTAGGTTTTGAACTTCAGTTATTTCTTCAATGGGTGGTGTGTGTATTCTCTAAGCAAACACAGGATTCATTAATGAGTTGTAGAGTCATTGCTGAATCCTTGTGCTTGTAAACTAAAGCCTTTAGACTTTGCATTGTAAATGCTTGATCTATAGCCCTGTACGCATTTCTTTATTATACCTTTACTGATGCAAGTTCTAAGTTACAATAACAAACACAGCAAAGAGACAGGCAGTGCTAACTTTACTGGGTTCGTCACCAGTAGACAATGAGAGGCCATGAAGATAGTGGACATTATTGAGAATTATTTCCTTTTGAATTTGGTTTAAAGTGTCCACTATTAAAATTCACCAAATATTACACTTTACATTTTCAGAAAAAAATATACAACATGAAGGTTCAAAAAAAAAAAATCAACCTGGAATGTTGATGGCTTTAATGGTGGGCTGGTGGTATCTATAGGAAATGTAGACGTGTGAATTTGTAACATAGGCCTAACAAACCACTTTGTACCAGAGCATATTATGTAATACTGTAGGCATAACTGTGTGTCAGATAGGATTTGGGAAGGAACTTGTTATGAGAAGATAACGAGAGAGGAGGTTTTCCTGTGTCAGCAATGAAATTCACATTATCCACAGGAACAGCAATTCTTCAGTGTCATTTTTTTTCTGCTTTTGCATCATACTCTCCAGGCTTTCTTGCTTTAAGATTTTTGGAGTGTTTTTGGTGGACAATGTCATGGCTTTTCTGGTATGGAAATGTTTTCTACATTCTCAGGAGCCATATTCCTAGCTGATGTTGGGGGGGACAATGCAATATCATAATTTCAGTTATAGCAAGCTTGCTGGCGCTAATGCCTTTTCCAATAAATCAAGATTGTTGGTCTTCTTGCTGTCAACACATCCCTGGTTCCTAATACTAGACCATACCCAGAATCTTGCTTGCAGCTCCAAAGGCCCTTAAATGTTTCTTGGCCCAAAGACATCTTTATATTCTGTTATCATTCGATTTGTCAAAGGACACAAACAGTGAGCTCAAAAGGTCCTCATTTTAAAAACCATGTCATGGCCATTGCATGCATCTATCATAAGACAGATCACTCCATTCCATTATATTCCTGAGTGATAATGTAGTGTTAACCCAATGATTCCTTTACTGGGTATGAAAAAAAATATAACATCAAAAGTATAACTTAGTGATATTCACAAGGATTTAATCAGCAGCAGTAACCCTATCTGTCCCATATTGTCCCTCATCATCATCTACTGTACACAGTTGGCCCATAGATCTAAGAGTAATGCAGAGACGGATTATGGCAAAATGGGTGGGATAGGTGGCTCAGCAAGGTAGCAATTTGGCTTCCCCCCTTCCTGCAATATATGGGAACAGAGAACCTTCCCCATTTGCACTTTCTGTACTGGCATGGCCCCATCAGACACTAACTGCCTACTAGTGAATCCTCCCTGATGAGCTGACAGACAGGGTGCAAAGTTTTGAGTAGATGCATCATCCTCTTACTGTAGTAGCATAAAGGTTGTAGCTGAACCTTCTGGAAATTCACTGGGCCACAAGCTCCTGCCTAGGTTGTCCTGTGGATGAATTGGCTCTGGTACATGGTACAGTTGTGGTGCCATAACCCATAAAACAGCAAAAAGTTTCCCAGCACATTCGCCAGCCAGCCTGCAAACCCCATAAAACAACACATATATAAAATATATTGCTATTTTTCCTTCTTATTAGCCTCCCTGTCCTGTACTAGATTCTGATGAGGCTGATGCTGCCGTGATGTCACACCTTGGGTAAAAGAATCTATCTACATAGCTCATGATGGGGATGCTGTACCTCCTCAAAATAATTATCTTCCTTGTGTTTGGCTATCTGCTGCTTCTAATCCCAAAAGATAAAAATATCACTTTTTGATTACTAGCTCCAGTGTCCACAATACAAGAACCACCCAAAAAAGGAATATACTGTTCTCCTGTAATATCTGTATTTGGATGCATTAAAGGTGTGTTTCGGTCATGCAGGTGAAGATGTAATGGAAATCAAAAGCTTGAACTCCATTAAAAAAAACACATTTTGTGAATCGCGGCGGCTCCTCATACTGCAAATTGCATTGCAGAAGTGGTTCTGATGAATGGTTGGTGGAGCAGATTTGTAAGTTGATGTTCTTTTTAACTCAGCACTTACTTGGCCTTTGAACATTGCCAGTTATACAAATTTTAACTGCATTTATTACTTAAGGTTAATATTTTTCTTTATGGGGTGTGACCCCACCTTCTGGGCTCTATAAAATTGAATGAGGTCAGTTTCACCCATGACTCAACTATAGGGGAGGAGGATCCACTCCCATTACACTTAGGGGTTGTTCAAAAAAAGGTGAAGAGTTTGGAGAAGGCTGGAGAAGTGAACAATATAGGACAACATAGGTGATTTGGAACATTTCTCCAATTCAGCTCACTTTCCAGTTCAGCTATGTTGTCCTAGATTGTTCACCTTTCCTGCCTTCTCCAAACTCTTCATCCTTTGGTAAATAACTCCCTTAGTATAGGACAGGGCTGTAACTATATGTTATGTCCCCCCTCCCGCCACACACACTTTTCTAATCTCCCCCTCAAGTGACCCAGGATACAAATAGCAATCATTTAGATGCGCGCCCCCCCCAACTATATACATTCATTTATCCAAATGTATTGGTCAAATGCTTTTGCCACCTGCATAAATTACTGTGTAGGCAGACAGTACCTCTTCCCCCCATGTTTCTGGGCCCCATAGCTGTTTCATTGTCTGATACAGGTGCAGAACCTCTGAAAACTGCACCCGTATCACAAGGGAGAAGGATTTCCATCCTTTAAGCGGAGCTGACCATCCAGGAGCATCCACACTACAGGCATTTATTACAAAAATTACAGCAGGTCTGGACCCATGAAATCTTACCTTTTATGTTCATGTGTTAGTACTGTCACCCCACAGCACATTTACTACATTTTGACCTATTCTTTAAGGCCGGTGGTAAATATTCTACAACTTATGTAAAGATTTGAATTGGAATCACAAAAAGTATACACAGACATCCAAATAAGATTGGATCTGGATGCATGTGTGCTGCAGCTGGTGTCGCTGTTGAAATGAATGTCAACAGTGCATATAGTGCCTGATGCAAGCTATTAGGATATAGTAAAAGAGAAGTAATAGTCACTGCATGGTGATCCATGTGCAGCAATGCAATAACACTCGCACATATATAGGCAATTACCATTATTCATGCTTATCCACACAATGGATCTTCAGCTACTATAGTTCTATAGTTTATATAGTACAACGAAATTTAGAAATTTGCAATTCATTAGCAACTGCTTCTGTCTGAATGCAAATATTGCAGAAAAAACATTTTGTACATTGCAATATATCAAGGTAAGCCACTGACCTTCATCTTTGTTGGGGTCCTCAGAGGAATGTAGTCCCCTGCTCCAGAGAGAGTGAGAGCAGTGACGCAGAAAGGAAAAAGAATAGTTTAAGTATCAGATATCCTGTAATCATCCAAGTCACTGTGTTAACAACTTCAATCCAAATCGTTAAACATTAGTAAGGAGCCGCAAGATTGGACATTGTCCTAGGTACTTTAAGGCAATTCCAAGAGCACTACAACATTTTTTTTTAATAGCTAAGACACCGATCTACAGAGTGGAGCCTGCAACAGATCAGCTTCAAAGTGTACAGGAAAAGAGAGAGAGAAAAGTTTCTGCCAGCTGTTTTGGGCTCAGAAAGAAAGGGGGGAGTGTGTGATCACTTTGTAATCAAGTTAGCTATCTGCCGGAAAATTATCCACTTTTTATGTAAGTTTGGAAACTTGTGCACAGAAAAAGAATCTGAATTTTGAGTGATGTGAAGGAGAGGTATTATGTCGTATTAATAAAGTTTTTGGCAACTTGTAGTATTTTGTCACGTAGGGAGAAGTGGCATCATTTGGTTAAACGACAGAGGATAAATAGACACTTGAATGAAAACTATGTTCAAAGAGGAAAATGTGAATAGGAAACAAGTGTTTTTACTAAAATACTACACGAAAAAAAATTATTATTATTATTAATAATATATGCATACAAACAAAACCTGTCAAATTAGTATCTGCTCATTGCTGGGGTAAATCCTCTCCACGGTTCTAGCAAGACCTGCCAAATGCGATCAAAGTCCTAGGGGCTTTTTTGCCCTTTGTAGTAGGGCTGGTAATGAATAACATTTTCGTGTTCGATTAATCGAAATTTTTTTAATCGATTAATTTCGATTAATTATAACGCACATACAAATCCAACTACATTGGTCTATACACATACAGCACAGCAGTGAAGTGATAAAATGAACTAGGATTACACTAATCCAGCACGTTATTAATCTCACGTGCCCCCCTCAATATGGCCGCCGCTTGAGTGGGGCAACTCAGAATAATAACGTGCTGGATTAGTGTGATCCTAGTTCATTTTATTACTTCATTGCTGTGCTGTATGTGTATAGGACAATGCCTTTGCTGGTGCTAGTGCAGAACAAGTACTCACCGGCCCAAGTGGCTCTGTTGGCTAACGAAGGGAAAGGGGGGAGGAGTCCAGTGACGTCACGGACATCGAAGTCACCGGACCCCTCCCTTCGTTAGCCGTCACGGACATCGACGTCACCGGACTCCCCCCGCGTCCCCCGGTAACCGGC